ATATTAATGCAGAGGGAAGATAGCATCTGAGAATGGAGCCAGGGTAAGAAATTATAAACTTACATGGAAACTGTCTCACAGTTGATTCTAAAAGCAAAACTGAGACTTCATCAATTAGCAGGAATAGACCAGAAATTGTAGTAACTTTTATTAATAGTGAAACTAAAGATTATAGGCATAAAGTAAAACTTGGCAAAGAACTTGCAGTAATTTTTTAGGAGAGATTAACAACAAATATCCCCAAAGCAAGAGAATTCAACTTATAAAGTGAACTAACTGGATCCTTCCTCACTTTGTCGAGGGAACACCAATATCTGGAGCTCCTAAATTATATACCGATGCAAATAAATTAGGAAAGCCTTGTTTCAAAACAGAAAATTTAAGTAAAGTGTCTCAAAGCACTTATGTTTCTGTCCAAAGTTCATAATTATATGCCATTCTCATGTTATTAATGGATTTTCCAAAACATCTTAACACAGTCACTGGTTTGCAATATGCAGAGTTGTTTTGAATATTGAAACTCTCTCAGTCTAGACATTTCGGTGGAGGGCCTAGGTCCTGCCCAAAGTGATGTGACAGACTTTGATGATCACCATGGAAAGCCTCACCCTCCTTGGGGCACAGAAGAAGGATGGGATGGGAGTTAGTGGGGAGTGTGGGAGCATAGGAGGGAGAGGGAACTGGGATTAATAATGTAAAATAAGACTGTTTCTAATTTAAATTCAAAAAAGAAAAGAAAAAGAGAAACTGCCAAATTTATTTCAGTTGATACAGAATTGATTTTGTTATTTATTAGAAATAATTAGTAATCGGTAGCATCCCATACCTAAAACACACATCTGATCCCATATGTGTCTGCCACACCCATTTTAATAAGGTAATGAAGAAATTAATAGATTGTTGATAGAAATATGCTAGAGGCTGCAGAATTTCATAAAATAATCATGTCAATTTCAAAGGTTTAAAAAAAAGATTTTTCCAATAAATGACAACAAGCCAAGGAAAAAATAAGGAAATACCTTTTTTTGTTCATTATGCATCTACACTCCAGTACCTGCAAGAATTAACCCAAAATGTACTGAAAGGAATTAAATATGTCAGATGGTTGTGTTCCATTTTGTAGACTTTGGAAAATTAAAATATGTACAACACACCATTGATACCTACTCAGGCTTTCAGTGGGCAACAGTTTTGAGTTTGATAAAGGCTGATTTTGTAATCACACATTTGCTAGAATGTGTTATGGCCATCACAGGCATACCTGTGCAAATAAAGACAGACAATGTTTCAGCATATGTCTCTAGTAAAATGAAGCAGTTTTTGCTTATTACAATTTAAAGCATGTAACAGGAACACCACACAATCCTACAGGGCAGTTTGTCATAGAAAGAGTAAATCAAAATCTAAAGGATATGCTAAGTAAGCAGAGAGAAAAGATGAAGATTCCCCAAAATACATTGCCTAATACTTTATTAACTTTGAGTTTTCTAAATGTTAATGAGAAAGGATGACAGCTGTGGAGTGATATTGGCTAATAGAAAAAAAACCCTCCAGAAATACATAAGCCTGTATACTTTAATGGTGTCATGACCTCATAATAATAGCTAGGATATGTGTTATTTTGGAAAAGTGGCTCTCATTTTTTTCCACAGTAGAAGAAACTTATTGATACTGTTAATACTGATAAAAGTTCATCTTGAGCAGGAGAGACCACTTGAAAAGGTGATATTTCACCAAACAGGGTGGTCATTCAATCTAAACTAACTTATAAGACTAACACGTACTTATCACTTGATTAGATAAAGCATGCTAAAAAGAACTTCCCAATGTTATGATTGGGGAGGTGTTTTGTTTTTGTCTTTTCAGGAGAATGAAGGCATCCAGGTAAGAAGTTTGAAGACCACTGAACAAATGAAACATCAAAAAAGCACAAATTTTCCAACATAATGTCCCAAGAAAAAGAGTAAATTGGCCTATTGATATGTCACACTTTCAAAAGGATAAAACTTTATAAATCTCCCCAAATATTTGCTTTGACTGTTCTCTACAGACATATAATGCAAAAGATCTCTTTTGTAGTCCCAGTCTAATTAAAAATTAAATCTGACTATGGAGTTATAATATGACTTTCTCTTTCTTTAAACCCAGGAATGCTTGTTAAATAAAAAATCTTTTCCTCATGTCAAAACAGTCAACTAATATGGGACAGAAGAAAAACAAAAATTTAAGAAAAATTCTATTAACCACTTATCTCATAATCCTTTGGTTTTATTTTGACTTTTAACAGCTTTTTAAGGTATAAATACAACCTCAAAAATTTTAAGATTAACATATACATACATATATTAAAATTTTTATCTTGATATTAATGGCAACATAGAGCACTAGTTCTAGAAGAAGGCTTTACACACCTTCCCATACATGATTTCATGTCTAAGTCTACCAGAAAAGTAGGAATTAGTGTTTTTACTTTGTATGTATGTAACAAAATATGGTCCTTTAACCATTTTCAGATCTGCTGCATATGACATTTAAAATGTTTCTACTACAGAGCGAGTTCCAGGACAGCCTCCAAAGCCACAGAGAAACCCTGTCTTGAAAAACCAAAATAAATAAATAAAATGTTTAAGTTTTCTGCAATGAACTATGACCATACCTAACAGTGACTTTTACAATCTCTAAAAGGATGATGGGGCCCCATGGTGATGATTCCACCAGAACTATGACAAAGCCACTAAGGTGACAAACACCACCTTCATATTGGCTTTTGACTACAAACTGCTCAAAACAGTTTCAATTTGACTAGCTGAGAGGGACCAGCCTCACAGACTACTCTAGCCAGGACTTGAGATAAGCTCTATATGTTCCCATTATGCAGTGAATGACTGAACAACAAATGATACAACTACATCTCACAGGACTTGACAATCAAGTAGCTCCTAAATATACCATGGCCCCAGACAGCATGAAATAAATTTAGGATCAGGATTCCCACATTCCCAAGAGGTCAGAGGGATGGTTTTTGATCATTCAATGGGTTATGAATATTTGTCATCATTTAGGGTTTGTGGTAAAAAAATGTTATTGGTAATTGTCAGGAAAAGTTGAACAAAAAATTTAGTTTCATGGTTCTTGTTTTGAAAGGTTAAACGGGGTATGGATATGATAGGACATTAAGAGTGGATTATTGAATCTACTATGAAAAGAAAAAGGAAGGATATAGAAATAGGATAACAGAAGAAACCATCCTGAGTGAGGTAACCTAGTTACAAAAGACAAACATAGTATGTACTCACTCATATATGGATTTTATATATAGAACAGGGGAGTGCTAGCTTACATTCCCACAGCCAGAGAGTCTGTGAAACAGAACCTTCAACCAATGACTAATGGAATCAGAGGCAGACACCCACAACTAAACACTGAGCTGAACTCAAGGAACCCAGTGACAGAGAGGGAGGACAGATGAGCAAAGGGGTTAAGACTGGGCTGGTTTAACCCCTAGAAATAGCTGACCTGAACAAGGGGTAGTTCTTGAATTCCAGACTGATGACTGGGAATCCAGCATCTTCAAACAATGTTCAAGACCCCCTGAATGTGGGTGTCAGTGAGGAGGCCTAGGCAATCTATGGGGTCTTGGGTAGTAGATCAGTATTTGTCCCTGGCATACAAATGAACTTTGGGTATCCATCCCACAATGAGAGATGCACTCTCACCCTAGACTCTTGGAGGAGGGTCTAGGCCCTGCCCTGGATGAAATGACAGACTTTGGATACCCCCATGAAGGGCCTCACCCTCCCTGGGGAAAGGAGGGTGTACTGGGGGGGGGGGTGGGAGGGCATGGGAGGAGGAGAGGGAAAGGGAGAGAGACCTGGGATTGACATGTGAATCAACCTTGTTTCTAATTTAAATTTAAATTTAAAAAGAAAAAAAGAAAAACAAACAACCCCCCCCAAATAAGTAGGATAAAAAGCTAGATTATTGAATCTACTTTTAACAGAAATAGCAACTACTATATATATTTTGCATTAATACTGATTTTGTATATTGATACAAATTTAAGATAAGTTTTATTAGAATATACTATACATACATTTCTAATCATGTCCAATATTCTACTTATACAGCTCATTTAACAATGCAATGAAAATTTGTAGTCCATGAAAGTTATTATTACCAACTCTTTAGGATAATAAGGCAATGTAGATTTGTAATTAGTCACCTATTACTCCCAAACTTATAAACATATTAGGTATGTTTTCAATGTCACAGAGAGATATAGTTTAGATAGGCAGGTCATCTTCAAACACTTCAGAGATATACAGAATATGGCATTTAAGTGGTGGTAGCTCACAGCTTTAATTAATACTTTGGAATCACAGACCTTCAATCCCTACAGCCGGAGGTGGAGACAGGATATGGCTGGGCAGAGTGAGCAATATAAAGCAGGAAGAGACAGGAAACCATGCATTCAGTTTGAGTTTCATAGAGAGAGTTTTCAATCTGAAGATTCATGGAGACCGGTTCCTGCCTGATTCCGTTTCAGGATTTGGTAGAGGTAAGAGCTAGTTGCTGGAACTCTGCTTCTCTGATCTTTCAGCATTTGCCCCTATATATAGTTCCAGATTTTTATTATTAAGACCAATTGGAATTTGTGCCACTCTCCATATTTACTTACTTTCATTGCAGTCCTGAAGTCACTGATAACAAATAAGTAACATTTCCTTGAAATTCAGTAGCCTATTTGGCTAGGATGCACTTAGGTAAACATACCATTCCCATGACAAATTCACTTTCATGTTTATTTAAAGCAGCAGTTTATGTCATGGTGAGGTGCTTTATTTCCAAGGAAGTAGAAGGAGGCTTCTTCTTGTAATAGCACTTAGCAAAGGATGAAAAGTTAAATGGCACTGAATAAACCTAAGAATGCTGAAAGACTTTCTCCTATGAATGCTGAAAAACATTCTGGCTATATAATTACTCCTTGAATCAGTACTTACATTGTGCTTTGTGAGGTTTGAAATATTAGCTGCTAATGCTTGCAACCAATCCATGCAGTCTTCAGCAGAGAGGCATTGAATAATTCCACTGCAGACTCCATCCACAGCAACAACTTGGAAAGCATTCTGCCTATAGGTGCATTAGAACAGAACAGACCAAACACCTTGTTATATAGGGGTTTAAACTCTGTCCGGTACCTGTAGAAGAGCTCTTACTTCATACAATATGACAAACTGCTTCCATATTCAAATTCGATTACCTTCTTTATAGATATATCAGTTTTAAAATGGAGCAACAAAAAGTTCAAGATATTATGTAATTCCAAAAAATTAGAAAATATTTTTTAAATTTAGGAAAAATTGGACAACCTTTGAAATATAAAACAAAGCGTGTCATATTGAACAACTTAACTCAGGTCATTCTTTTACCTTTGTTCAAACATACCCAGCCTATGATTTCATCTCTGATCTTTTACCATGTGTTATTACATTTTCTGACTTACAGTGTGATGATGTCAAAGACAAACAAATATTAAATATTCCATGGTAAACCTCATGTTAATTTCTTTGATGTTCTTTGAATATAGTCTTAATGGGCACGAGTACATGAAACTGCAGCATGAATAGGAGACACCAAAGGCCCTGGCCCCGAGAATTAGATGTTTGTGTAATGTGAGGCCCTTTAGAAAATTTACAAGTCATATTTAAATCCACCAATGTTGGGGTAATAGAAAACTTTCACAAGTGAACATTCAAAATAGGGCGCAAACTTCATGTATTCACATATTATCTCGAAATACACGTTTCCTGGTTCTGTCAGTTTCACAACTGGGCAGTTAAGGATATTAGATATTAAGAATTTCCTGAAACAAAGGAAAATGTAGGGAGCTCGCATCTGGCTCAGTGTCATGTGTAGGCCTCTGTCCACTTATTTTCTCTCTAGAAAAGATCCAGTCTCTATATGGAATACCTGAAGCCTGTTTTGCTATCCAAAGCACTCTTACACTCAAAATTTTAACAGTTTTAGAGAAACTAGTTACCATATCTGACACTTTATAATGACAACAGAAAAGTGCTCAAACATGCATCACTAATTTTCTGTTAAAAAATAGATTTCTGTTAGTAACAAGGAGATTTTAAACTTCTTGTGATAAAAAAATATGCTCCATGAAAAGGTATATTCAAAATACACCTGTATGTGGTGCTTAATATAGTTTTGGGTGTGAGCCTATCCTTTAATGGCTAATTCATTGTTCTAGCCCTGACCTTTAATTGTAATGCTCAACGGTGATTAATGCGTTTACAATATCCAGGCATAAGGCTGGAGAGATGGTTCAGCAATTAAAACACAGACTCCTCTTTCAAATAACTTGGACTGTATTCACAACACGATGATGGAGACTCACAACCATCTGTAAACTACAGACCCTGGGAGACAGACATCCTCTTTTGACTTCTGAGATAATCAAGTATGCTGTGCAGACATACACGCAGACTAAACATTCATACATGTAAATATTTTTAAATGTTCAGACAGAAGCACAACCATTTATGGAAAATGTAGAAAAAAATGAGCATAGCAATGTGAATCTTTTTCACTCTGTGATTATCATAAACATTTCTACATGAGCTAAAATAAGAGCACATCATCTATATAGTTTTAACTGATTAATTCTGAAATTTATGTGTTATTACATTATATACAGCCCCTGATAGCATAAATCTGAAAGACTAATCTTTTATACTCCAGTCCTGAATATTAATGTAAAAGTTTTTTGAATCTGTGTATTTCATGTAAAAACATATATTTCTAATTATTGAAGTTAATTATTCTTATTTTGATTCATAATTGATTCTATGTCATATGTCTGCTTTCTTTGTCAGGGCTGAATAAGAGAAATGACATAAAGAATGATTTTTGTGCATTAGAAACAAGCATTTCAGAAAATAAATTATACAAAATTATTGTGACTTGATTACAATCTCTATGAGTAGAAGCCTGGTATAGAATAAGCAGAGACAATTGAGAAAGGCCCTGTAGGTCTTCCTGGCAAGGAAAAACTGTCATAAATCCATTGTAAGGATTTTTCTAAGTATCGTGGGTAGATTAGCAGTGTTTTTAGGCCTACCATTAGGGAAATTAATATGACTGGGGAGAACTTCTAAGGCACACAGTTGAATTTGAACAACTGAATGGATGATGTTCAGTAAATCCATGATTTAAAAGGGTAGTAAGTGAGAACAGAACCAAAATAACTCCAGGCTTTTCATTCTAAATAGCAGAACAGCTGTGGCAGGAAAGGCAAAATAAATCTTACATAGAAGTAAGAAATCCAAAAACGAACATGTGGGGATTAAAAAGCATGTTGTGTTGTGAGAAAGACTGGTTGCTAGTTATGTTACAATAAGGCCTTGTTATTGTATTTCTTGTAAATAATTCCACACATGTTTACTTTATCCTTAGGTCAGGAATAGCCATGGCAACACTTCAGTATTTGAATAACGTATCTGCACTTGCAATCTTTGTGGCAACTATTATGTGCAAAAATATAAATAGATTATGATGATGATGATAGATAAGTAGAAAGATAGGTATAGAGAAGGGAAATGAAGGTCAAGAAAGACAAGGGCATTACATTAATATTCAAGACAAACAGTTGTGAGATGATGGCTAACATTATATTGAAGGCCAACTTTACACTTAAAAATTTAAAATTACTGTGCTTAAGAGAACTATAATGCAAAAATGGGCTTCCAAATGTTGATGGCTGTTTAGGGTTGATTTTTGTAATTTCCTGGCCTTGTACAATTTTTACAAAACTATTATTTATTCAAAGCCATAAAATTAACTGCTATTTTTTTTGCTTCCATAAACTAAAGCTTCTTTTTCAGGAAAGGAGAACAGAAAGTAACTTTGTATTTTTGCCCTTATTAACCCCTGACTGGGGTGGCTAGATGCTTCAGTCAAGAATCCTGAGTCCCAGATGTAGAACTGAAACTGGTATGCACTTAAGAGTATCTACTTTGTTAAACTTTATTCATTGTCAGACTGATGATTCTCTGAATGACTTAAGACACATAATGAGTGAGGCTTTATGCATGCAGAAGAGACATTTGATTGAAACATAATAACAATTTACTAGATTAGAAAATTAGTTAATTTGGAGGAATGCAAAGGAAAGAAAAACAAAAAGAGAACTCTAGCTCTCGATGAACTGAAGTTCTCAAATCACAGGTAGCAGGTCTATTTTCTTCTCATCCTGATTAAACTTTGGGCCTCTTTTTTTTTTTCTATTGAAACACAAAAGTGTCTTGACCCTCATAAGAATATATATCAACCACTTACGTTCAATACTTGAAATTCACCAACCCTATATGCAGATATCCCAAGTCTTCTTCCAGAATCTAGACTTAAGTTTACTTCTAACACCTTTTTTTTCAGACTGCTATGATTGCTTCAGTGTGAACTTTCTTCTTCTTTTTTTTTTTTTGCTAGTCTCTATTTTTTATTATTTAATTAGAAACTAGCTTGCTTCACATGTCAATCCCATCTCCCTCTCCCTCCCCTCCTGTCCACCCCCCCAACCAACCCTCCACCCCATCCACCCTCTGCTCCCCAGGGAGGGTGAGGCCCTCCATGGGGGATCTCCAAAGTCTTTTATATGATCCCAGGCAGGGCCTAGACCCTCCCCCATGTGTCCAAGCTGAGAGAGCTTTCCTCCATGTGGAATCCTCTCCCAAAGTCCATTCATATGCCAGGGATAAATACTGATCTACTACCTGAGGCCCCAGAGGTTGCCTAGGCCTCCTTACTGACACTCACATTCAGGGGGTCTAGATCAATCTTATGTTGGTTTCCTAGATATCAGTCTAGGGTCCTTGAGCACCCCCTTTTTCTTTTTTTTAATCTTTATTTTTTTATTTTAATTTTAAATAGCTTGTTTAACATGTCAATCCCAGTTCCCTCTCTCTCCCCTCCTCCTCCACCTCCCCACCATTCCCCCCAGCCTCTCACCCTATTGCCAATTCCTTCCTCATAGGGGATATCTAGAGTCTGTCATTTCACTCAGGGTAGGGTCCAGACACTCCCCTAAGAGTCCAGGCTGAGAGAGCATCCCTCTTTGTGTTAGGGACACACGATGTCTGTTTGTATTCCAGGGATAAACACTGACCCACTGCTCAGGACCCCATAGGTAGCCCAGGCCTCCTCATTGACTCTCACATTCGGGGGGGTCTGGATCAGTTCCATGCTGGCCTCCCAGCTGTCGGTCTGAGGTCCAAGAGCTCTCGCCTGTTCAGATCAGCTGTCTCTGCTGGTTTTGCCAGCCCATTCTTTGCCAATTTGCTCACTGCTCCTCTCTCTCTGTCACTGGGTTCCTTGGGTTCAGTTCAGTAACACCCACAGTTAAACACTGAACTGAGCTCCCCCTTTTTCAAGTCAGCTGTTTCCATGGGATTCACCAGTCTTGTCTTGACCTGTTTGCTTATCACTCCTCCCTTTCTGAAACTGGGTTCCAGGAGTTCAGTTTGGTGTTTAGGTGTGGGTGTCTGCCTCTGCTTACATCAGCCACTGGATGAAGACTCTGGGATGGCATATAAGGTAGTCATCAATCTCATTATCAGGGGAAGGCATTTAAGGTAGCCTCTCCACTATTGCTTAGTTTGCCAGTTGGTGTCATCCTTGTAGATCTCTGGAAATCTTACTAGTGTCAGATCTCTCCTCAAACCTATAATGATTTCCTCTATTATGGTATCTCTCATCCTGCTTGCCTCTATTCTTTTGTGTCCTCTTGTCCAATTTGAAAAGCATATTGACAGCAGTTGAGGCAAAGTCATTTTATTGCCCAGTGGCTTATTTTTACCACAAAGAAAACAAAATCTATATGTAGTTTGATTCCCATCATCTTTTCCAATGGAGATTGCTGCTGCCAGGAGCAAACATGGTTCATTGTCAAAAAAGAGAGGAACCTATGTCATTAAATCATCTTAAGGGGAATATTCTGTAGATCTCTGAAATGTTGGAAGATTAATGTCTATCTAAATTTTTTTTACTTCAAATCACACCTAATATGACTAGAAGTTCAATTGTAACAGTTGACTAGTTACTAACCTGCATTTCCTTATTATCCT